CATGAAATTGAATTTTTAAACAAGTTTTAGCTTCCAAAGGATTTGTTCGGAAAATTGATGAAATTTCTTTAAAATTCGATTGCCTAAATAAATTATAGAAGGTCAGCTTTTTTATTTACACTTTTTTTTTGACAATATGTCAAAATTATTATACAATTTGTTTTACACTTAGTTACAAAGTTTCGCCGTATCAAGCATTACGAGAATTAATTCGCAGGTTAAGATTCTTTCAAGATATTTAAAATAACTGAGATTCAACAACGAAATTACGGAAACACATCACAAACAATACAAAAGTCAAATCATTCATGTTAATATATTTTCAACATATTAAGCGATTCCGTTACTTTTTTTAATGTTAACCAGTTATTTGTGTCCATTTATGTTTGAAAATTGCATTGCTAAATTTCAGAGGCAAGATCTCACCGAAAAATATGATGGAAAGTTTATATAATCAAAGGGCCGAAAATGCATGTTTTGTGAGATAAACGTAAACTTTTCAAAAACCGGTTGCAATTGCAATTTGCAGTATAACCGTGTCATCAAGTATTTTCCTAGTTTACTGAAGTTAGATGATACATCACATTCAATTTTTGGTTTAAGAAATAAAGGCTGAAAACAGTGCTCGTTTTTCTTATTTAAGTTAAGTAAGTTTTCAAATTTTGAGAAAATTGAAACTGAACTTCGAATATAAACAATATTGAATTTTTTTCGGCATGTTCATGTCCTTGTCCAGATGTGGTAAACAAGATTTTAAACGGACAAAAACTTTCGTCTTTGAAGAAAAGGACATTTTTTATTAAAATTTTTGATTGAACAAAAAATATTATTTTGCATGTAGAGTGTCCAAACCGTTAACAATTTTTTACAAGAGTAAAGCAAACTTATTCTAAAGTTTTTAGCAAAGTGCTACTCAGATTATAAGTTCTAAATGAGATATTTTTAACCAAACAAGCAAAAAAATATTATCATCCAAACTTAATGAAAACAATTAGATCCAATTTTGAATCATCATTTTGCTAAAAACTTTTAAATAAGATTACTTTACTCTTGTAAAAAAAATGAATTGTAAGAAAATGAATTAAATGAATGACATTTTCTCGAAAAAGTGCATTTTTGGTATCTGGCTTAAATCACAGACAATTTTTGTAAAGTTTTTGTTATAATGTATGGAACTATCCGCGAAAAATGAAAACTACGTAACCTCTTTACATTGTTAAATTATTGTTTTGTAGATATGACTCCTTCAAGCTCGGATAATAGCCAAATAATTTCCGATTCGGAATATAAATTACCAGAAGAATCCGAAGCAGAAAGTTCGTGGGAATGTGGATACAGAGAAAGTGATTTTTTTTTGGATAGCCCTATTGAACTGCGTCAAGAATTGCCCGACAGTACATATACTACGATGCAAACAATACAACCAGGTTTACCTCCCGAAGAAAATAATAGCGTTGACCACAATTACTGTGTCAGTCTCAGACAAAATGACAATCTGGATTCCGAAGTTAAAACACCTGGAAAAACTCGACGTGTTAGGAGAAAACATCAATGCCTATATTGTAATCAAGATGTCGGAAATTTCTTAAGGCACATGGAGCGTAATCACTGGGACGAATTACAAGTACAGGAAATTTTGTCGCTAGAGAAGAAATCTAAGAAACGGATTAAGTTGATTGACAGACTTCGTAGGGAAGGTGACTTTTCTACATCAAATATTGTACCTGTAATGGCAAACAAAAAAAAGCTAGTTGAAGACTATATTGTTTGCAAATTTTGTCAAGGCTATTATGCCAAGAATAGCCTTCGTCGCCACGCAAAAAAATGTTTCTTTAATCCCGATCCGAGTCAACGCTTTCAAGCACAGATTGCAGGCCAAACAGTAATGGTTGGGAATTTTGGACCGAATGATCCTTTAAAAATTAGCGGTCTTATAAACATGTTACGAGCAGATGAAACTTCGTTGGTTGCTAAGAATGATCAACTTATTTGTGAAGTTGGTAGGCGCTATATAAGAAGTCACAAAGAAAAACATCTCTTGGTAGTAGCGAAACGGAATATGAGACGATTAGCTCGTTTACTCATCAGCGTCAGAACACTCAAAAATAATAAAACACTTGGTTTAACTGAGATTCTCTTACCTAAAATGTTTAAAATACTGGTTTTAGCTACAAGAAACATAGCAGAGTATGACGTTGAAAATCGAAGTTTTAAGTCCCCTTCTTTGGCACTTCAGATGGGAACACTGATTAAACATGCAGTAAATACAGCGTGTTCTATTGAAATTCAAAAGGAAAATCCTCGTAAAAATTATATAGAAAATTTCAAGGAATTAATAAAACTTATTGATAATGACTGGGCAATTGAGGTTTCGAGCGAAGCAGGACAGAATTTGGCTTACAAAAAATTTAACAAACCAACATTAATACCTGTGGCGGAAGATATCAAGGTTAATTTAAGTTTATCACTTTTTGAAACTTGTGTAAATATTGGGAAAAAAGTAGCTTCTTGCATAATCGTCGAAAAAATTTGTTTTATAATACAAGTTTTATCACAAACCAAAACATAATTTTTTCTCATAGATGCGCGTTTTAGCACTCAAGTTGACATCTCCAATAAAAGATTTAGTTTTAATCTTCTCCTGAAGATGGACAAAATTGTGTTTCGGTTATATTAAGTTTATTTGTTTTACAGTTTTTATATTTATGTAAAAATAAAATTTAAAAAAAAAGTAGAGGTATCGCTGTGAAAACAATATCTCACCAAATACATACTATGAAATAATCTTTAATGACTTAAATGAAAGTTTAGATTATCAATAAAAAAAAGTGATTTTGTAATAGAGATAGTTAGATATATAATCAAAATTTCATCATTGTTTTATGTAGTTTTCTTTGTTTCAGAAACTGGACTAATATCTTAAAAATCTTATTTCACAAGCCAAACTTGTCTTGGCAGAAAATGATCACAATGAAAAAGCTTATCGAGATTTACTGGAAGGGATATTTTGCATATTTTTAACAAAAGGCGGGTAGGGGAACTCCAAAGGATGACCCTGTTAGCCTTTTTAGAAAACCAAGATTCAGTCCCATCGTCCGAATTTGAAAAAGTGCTGACAATGACTGGGCAATTGAGGTTTCGAGCGAGGCAGGACAGAATTTGGCTTACAAAAAATTTAACAAACCAACATTAATACCTGTGGCGGAAGATATCAAGGTTAATTTAAGTTTATCACTTTTTGAAACTTGTGTAAATATTGGGAAAAAAGTAGCTTCTTGCATAATCGTCGAAAAAATTTGTTTTATAATACAAGTTTTATCACAAACCAAAACATAATTTTTTCTCATAGATGCGCGTTTTAGCACTCAAGTTGACATCTCCAATAAAAGATTTAGTTTTAATCTTCTCCTGAAGATGGACAAAATTGTGTTTCGGTTATATTAAGTTTATTTGTTTTACAGTTTTTATATTTATGTAAAAATAAAATTTAAAAAAAAAGTAGAGGTATCGCTGTGAAAACAATATCTCACCAAATACATACTATGAAATAATCTTTAATGACTTAAATGAAAGTTTAGATTATCAATAAAAAAAAGTGATTTTGTAATAGAGATAGTTAGATATATAATCAAAATTTCATCATTGTTTTATGTAGTTTTCTTTGTTTCAGGAACTGGACCAATATCTTAAAAATCTTATTTCACAAGCCAAACTTGTCTTGGCAGAAAATGATCACAATGAAAAAGCTTATCGAGATTTACTGGAAGGGATATTTTGCATATTTTTAACAAAAGGCGGGTAGGGGAACTCCAAAGGATGACCCTGTTAGCCTTTTTAGAAAACCAAGATTCAGTCCCATCGTCCGAATTTGAAAAAGTGCTGACAATGACTGGGCAATTGAGGTTTCGAGCGAGGCAGGACAGAATTTGGCTTACAAAAAATTTAACAAACCAACATTAATACCTGTGGCGGAAGATATCAAGGTTAATTTAAGTTTATCACTTTTTGAAACTTGTGTAAATATTGGGAAAAAAGTAGCTTCTTGCATAATCGTCGAAAAAATTTGTTTTATAATACAAGTTTTATCACAAACCAAAACATAATTTTTTCTCATAGATGCGCGTTTTAGCACTCAAGTTGACATCTCCAATAAAAGATTTAGTTTTAATCTTCTCCTGAAGATGGACAAAATTGTGTTTCGGTTATATTAAGTTTATTTGTTTTACAGTTTTTATATTTATGTAAAAATAAAATTTAAAAAAAAAGTAGAGGTATCGCTGTGAAAACAATATCTCACCAAATACATACTATGAAATAATCTTTAATGACTTAAATGAAAGTTTAGATTATCAATAAAAAAAAGTGATTTTGTAATAGAGATAGTTAGATATATAATCAAAATTTCATCATTGTTTTATGTAGTTTTCTTTGTTTCAGGAACTGGACCAATATCTTAAAAATCTTATTTCACAAGCCAAACTTGTCTTGGCAGAAAATGATCACAATGAAAAAGCTTATCGAGATTTACTGGAAGGGATATTTTGCATATTTTTAACAAAAGGCGGGTAGGGGAACTCCAAAGGATGACCCTGCTAGCCTTTTTAGAAAACCAAGATTCAGTCCCATCGTCCGAATTTGAAAAAGTGCTGACAAATTCCGAGAAAATTTTATTTAAATCACTCAAACGCATAGTCATTAGAGGAAAAAGGGATAGAGGGGTTCCTGTACTTTTTGAAAAAATCGCGATGGATTCTACACTTTCTTTGGTAAATCTGAGAAAAAATTTTGATCTTGAAAATAATCAGTATCTTTTTGGTTTACCGGGAACATTAAATCCAATTGGAGGATATACGGTCATGAGAAAACATTCATTACTGGCGCTTGGTGGAAACAAGGCAGCAGCATCATTGTTGACTTCCACTAGGTTAAGAAAGCAGTTGGCAACTATCACTCAGATTTTTAAAATGGACAAAAATGAATTGGAGTAGCTTGCTTCATTTATGGGTCATAATGAAAAAACCCATTCAGAATTTTATCGTTTGCCAGACGACGTTTACCAAACCGCTAAAGTAAGCAAGTTATTATTACTTTCACAAAACAGTGCGTTATTTGAAAAGAACAAAGGGAAACCTCTGAGTGAAATAGAATTAAATGATGAGATCATAGACGAAAGTGATGACAATTATTTAGAAGATATTTACGAAAATGTGTTAGAAAATCAAAACCCGAATCAATTGAAAAATCAGGATCAGGTTCCTGCCTTTGGTGTAGCAGACATTCCTAGAGAAAAAAAACGGAAACGTAAGCTGGTACCATGGACAAACGACCAAAAAAAAATTACGGAGTGTTTTTTCAAAAAACACATTAAAAATAAAATTCCTCCAAAAAAGCAGGAGGTAATGAGATTAATCGAGAGTGATCCTCGGATTTTTACAAACAAAACATGGCCAGTAATAAAAGTTTACATATGCAATAAATTTAATAAAAAATAACGGGGCTGAAGATGTGTTATTTACAAATTTAGAAATGTTTTTTAGTTTGTCAATGATAACGAATGTTACATGAAAACTATTTTTGTTTCCAAATTTTTGCTACGAAAAAGGTTTATTTTTTATTTTATTAATGCAATCTATTTTATTTTAATTCATTTGATCATTGCGTATAGAATATGGTAAATAAAGACTATATATTTAATTTTGCATTTCTCTTATCCCTTCTTTGCAATCCCTTGGACAGAACGAAATTCACATCCGAAATCCAGAATCGAGTGAGGCTCGAGTAATACAATTTCTATCCAAAGTGAGAACAAAAAATGTATATTAATTAAGCCCAATCTGCAACCCCTTGGATACAGCAAGATTCTCAATTGAAATCTTAAATAAGGAGCAGAGGAATACCTTATTTTAAAGCTTTTGAAAAACGCTTCAAGTTCTTGGTTTGCTAGAAAACAGAAACACTTTTTTTGAATGTTGAAATAAATAAAAAAAATTAATGAAATGAAAATTAAATCTTTCAAAAGTTTGCATTCATTTACATCAAACCGAGAAGAATATTATAAAATCTAGATTTTCTAGTATTCCTCAAAAACATTTTTCAAAAGCTTTAAATGAGCATCACTCGAATCCCTTTGCTAGTTGAAATTTTAATGGTCAATGTTCAATGTCTAGTTAATATACTTTTATGCTTTCACTTCTCCTGATAGAAATCGTTTCCAGCGATTTTCGATTTTTTTTTCGTCCCTAAACAAAGCTGTTTTAGGTTTTTAAATTGTCATCTCTATATGCAATTATAACTCAAAAGCAAAATAAAATACTTTAAAATGGACATAAACTGTTCCGAAAAATATATAAACATTAGTAAACTAAAAATGAACCTTTTCTAAATTTGTAAATAAAATATCTTCTTCGGATCAGCATATTTTTTTAAATTTATTGCATACGTAATTTTTTATTACTGACAATGTTTGGTTTATAAAAATCCCAGGACAGTGTGGTAGCCCGAGAGAATACTTCGGTTAGTGGCGTTTATTTGTAAACTTACTTAGACCTCGTATTCCGAATTCAAACAATCCTGGGGTAATCGATCAAAGGAAATAAGCTAAGAGTTGGCTAAGGCGTTGTGGGTTAATCCGCTAGAAAATGCCCATGCTTTAATTGTAGCTTACTTAAACATACCATTTCACCAGAAATGGCCCAAGGCGTTTAACACATGGTATTTACCAGAGAAAAAGCAACCAATTTTCTCTGTATACACAATCATTCTAAGCTTCTAGAACATTTATTTAGGTAGTAAAGTGCTGACCGTTTTGAGAATTGAATTTTTGTTTAAATATGAGGTTTTGCTAGTAAATCCATCAAGGAAATGCTAGCATTTAGTAGTCTTGGACAGTCAAGGCGACATGAGCAACACCAATGTTGTCTGATTACTATTTTTCCGATTTAACCAAAAAAAAAACCTCCATGCAGGTTTTGCTTTGAAGATTTAAGCTGGACCTGGCAGCAAGTAATAAACCAGTTTGGTAAAGTCTTAATGTATGGCTTGTTTTTTTAGCTAGCATCAAAGAATTGGGTCTTGTATCTTGCAGATGAAGTCAAAGCAGCCAACTGTTCCAACGGAAATTTGAAGTAATTGAAAACAGGATGATATCTATTAGTTATTTATACCACACTTATGGAAACCGGGTAATTTTGAAGAAAAAATGAGTTTCTGGAAAAATAAAACTTTCTGGTAATTTTAGCAGCAAGAAACTGTTGTTTAAGCTCTATGAATAGAGAACTTCCAGTTGCTGTTTTTCTGAAGTTTCTAATTAGTTACAAGGATGACATATTTTGGGTGTTATGTCAAATAATGGCACCACTATTTGATGCTGCTAATAGGGAATTTTAAAGTAAAACCAAAACTAACCATGGCTTTGTGTTTAAGATCAGGACTTTGGCAAAGCATACCGCTTGTTTATCTGGCTGAGCTTTGGCTACTTGAAAATTGATAGAGCGCTTGAAAGATGAGGTGAAAGAGTATTGGTGTGTCAGCATGGAGAAGTTCTTTGTAGTTCCTACCAAGTTCGCCATGAAGAAATTGCAAGGTTATTTGAACAGATGGGTCATTTTTAAGTAAGTTTCTGTTAGTTTTTATCAGGCAAATGAAAATTTTTGTACCACCAGAAAGAGCTTCGAAATTTGTATGTCATTCTGACATTTTGGAAAAAGAAAATCAAGAGAAATTAAGATAAAATAAAATTTTGTTTTTGATATTTTAAAATATCACAAAACTGCAAAAATGAATACATTTTTTGACAAACTTTTGTAGACTAATGAATAGACGAACTAACCGACACCAAATTTTTTGTAAGAAAAATTTCAATAACATTTAAGCATAATACAAATTTTTAATTACTTTATATAAGTTTTACTTTTGGCATATTATGGTTATTTTTTACAGTTGCGTTCATACCATTCAGGTTGTCTTAAAAGTTTTATTTTTTACTTTATTACACGTTTGGATTCGGCCATTAAAATAAGTGTAAGGTTTTTCAAATAAATTGGGTTTTGTCAAAACAGAATCTAATTTAAATTTTTTAATTACATAAGGATTTAATATATGTTAGTGCAATTTATAGTAGTGTAACAATACGTCCTATTTTATATTTCAATTATAAAAAACTTGCTATCTCATAAAAGGGGGCCAAAAATATTTTTATCGCTTGATTAATTTAAATTAAACGCCATATTGTTTAACTTACTTTTCGCGTTTTCCCAGAATATGCGGAATTTTGATTTTCATTATTTAAATAAATGTTTTATAGTTGACTATGGTATTTAGAAATGAAAGATAATTTATTGAACTTTTGTATTTTTCAACAAGTATTTAATTAATTTTCAATTAACTTACAGCTACCCTATTATCCATTAATCACATTTAAATCCACAAAAAAACATAAAATATGCAATACAATACACAAGTAGATCAAGGTGTAATGGTTTAAAAATCATTATAATTTATCTTACTTTTACTTTTAATTTTGTTAATTAAGAAATTTCTATTTCTAATTTGAAAGTCTCTAAATCTATTTCTTTAATATTATTTGGAAGATTATTGAAGAATTTTAGAGTAAAATAGTTAATGCTAGACCTAGAGTTCTCAAATCTGAAAACTTCAGGGTTTATATCTTCATTAAAATGGGTAATATAATAGTGAAAGTCATTCTATTGTATAATTACCTAAGTGTTCTTTTATATTTTTTAGTAATTAAGCCATCCAATCTGCATCAGCAAGGTATTTTTTATTTTCAATTTATTAAAATGTTCTTTGCATCAACTTTACATGGTAACTCCTCTATTCTTCTTATTGCTCATCTTTGTGGTGCAAAGATTACATTTGCATCTGGAGATATCAATCAACACATTTTTTTACTCTGAGAATTGTTATGCTAAAGGTTTTCTTAACTAAATTTTTACAGCAGAATAGCGTTAAAAAGATACAACACTAAAAGAAGTATCTTAAAACCATTTATTCGCACATCATTTCTAATAAAAACCATTAAATGACATTCCATTTATTGACACATGAAAATTAAAATATATATATTAACAGAATAAAGTAACTAACTCAAACAAACTGTCTTTCTATATTTTCCAAAATTTCTGGAGTAGGCAGTACTTCAACAATGCAGTTTTTTGAATGCATGATACATTAGTTCAACTTCAAATGGTAGCATTCTTTTTTCCATAATATAATTTGCTCAAGACATAATCACCAACAGAAATGTTTTTGCTATCTCAAAGAATATTTCATTATTTGATTTCAGAGATAATATCTACATCATCCGAATTGTCATCACTGTCTGTCCAGCTTTCTTCATATTCTGAACTCTCTGAGGAAAGTTTTGTTTCTGGAGCTTGTTCCCCGAATTTTCAATTATTCTTCTACATTGTCATTCAGTATCACGTTTCAAGTTACAGACTGTACAATTTGATCATCAGTCAGTGTTTCTCTTGTTACGATATCACTATCAATGCTAACATAGTCGCTAAAACTAAACTCACTAAATCTGGTTTTAACGTGTGGGTGTATTTGTTGTTTTTTCAACCACTGGTTGAGAGGAAGGTCTTTGTCTGAGTCATGCTTCAAGCAATTGCATATGAATGTAATTTACGGCGTTCAAGAGGTCTATAATCTAACATATTACACATTGGTCCATTGACTGAAGTTTCGAATTTGTTTTAGGTGGTTTAAACACAAATTCCATTTGTTCTAATTTCACATAGAGGTAATTCTTAAGAAGCAGTAAATTGTTCTTTGCTTTCATTTCTTCATCCTATTCATGTAACTCATCTGTAAGCAAGCTTAACTGTTTGCCCACACCAACAATTTCCTTTTTTCTGATCCAGGCATGTTTGCCGCCACCAGAACTGTAATCTTTTCTTTAGCTCCAGCACAATGTTCAGTGTTCAGAACAAGTTTCAGTGTTATATTGGTATCATTTTATAAAATAGGCCTGTTTCATCCGCATTAAAAATGTTTGTCGTAAATTTCTGATACACGTTCTATCCAACTCCTAGAATAGTTGAACTATGCTTTTCCAATCTTGGTTCACAATTCACTTGTATTTTCTTGTAAAACACTAGCCCGTATAGGAATGTTTCCTTCCTTTTTTGGGAGTAAACCAACTTAAGAAGTCCTTTTTCAACTTCTCGGCGCTTAGATTTTCCTGATTTCTCACATTTAAGGCTAATAAAACCTTTTACAAGCTTTAAATCCTCACTTTCCCACTTTGAATTTTTTTAATAATGTCATATTTCTACTTAAGTGTAAAAACTTTTGAGATATTGTTTCTCCATTTTATTCCGTGATTTACCGTTTACCGAATGCCAATAAAAACTCCGATTTTACGAGCATTACTTCTTACACTACGCACCGACACAGTAAAAGTACATCGAATAAAAGTTCATTTTAACTGGAAGTTCATACTTTTGTTTAGGTCTGAAAGAAAATACATAAGCTATTTACCTAACAGTGACATTGGTTAAATATATCCTTTCTACAAAAACTAAATATTGGCAACACCGCCACAATGCAAGCAAAAATTATGATAGAATCTGGTAAATAATTAAATAAGGAATCTTTTAAGGTTTCATTCATTCATTCAGTTCATTAGTTTCTGCATCTATTATAACTAAAGCACAGTTGGAATTAAAGTTATAAATAAACTACTAATTAAATCATTTTTGTTTGATTCTTTTTAGACAACCATTTTTTCTGTCATTCACGTGTTAAGTGATAAAGTCATGGAGTCGGCCATAAACCATTCACCCAAGTCTGATAATCCCCTTCCCATTGCTGTATCCAAAGTTTAGTTTTTTTTTGTATCCGCTTCTGTGGTATCACACCCACAGTTGTTTTTGATTTTTATTTGTCAATATCAATATCATTGATATATATTTAGAACAGTAAAAGTTGGAGCACTGAACTCTATGGGTCTCCTCGATTGGTCAAATTATAATTAAGGTGGAGTTTTAATTTAATTTATTTTATGATTAACTGGTATAATGTTTTGGACTTTCTTTTGTATGAACTTTGTGTTTTGTTAGAGGAATTCCCTTTAAACTTTAGAACAATGCCGTGGCTTAAGCTAGACAGAGCTCCGCCTCATCATCGCAATTTTTAAATGCCAATTTTGAAAACAGGTGGATTGGAAGTCATGACTTTCATAATTGGCCCTCGGGATCCCTGGACACCACTGAACTTTTTATGGCTGTGGCTTCCAGCCAACCACACCGGATATATGCGTATTATAGACGCGTTTGATACTGTAACCTCGCAAATGATGTCCAGTGTCAGCACTAATCAACATTCGAGAATTTATTATGTAAGTGAACGTTTTTCTGCCTTTTTAACTTATCTTCAGTTAGTTTCCATTAGTTAATTGTTGTTAGAGCCTGGATAATGAAAATAATATTTAAAAAAACCTATCCATAAAAATATTTACTAACATAGCCACTAGATGATGTAGACCATAAATAAGTACCAAAAATTTTCATAAATTTTACATATCACTAGAGAGTCAATCATCTGTCAAAAACTTTTCAGACAATTTTTAAATTGAAACAAATGTTCACAGTTCCTTGAAATATTACTTCTGTTAAGTAGTTGTTCTTTTTTATTTTTATTCTTAGATTTTATCCAACTGTCAGCCCCTATGAACATAGATGAGTCATGTTATGCCCAAAAAATTCTTTAACGTGAAGACTTACATTCTCCCTCATTGATAGATTTATTATATTTTATTGTTATTAAAATTTGTAGGTAATTAGTTTTAATTTATATGCTTTTGGACATATTCTATTTCCATGTGAATGAAAAGATTTTTGTCTCTCGATTCCTTTAGCGTTGGTTGTTGATGGTTCGAAGTTGCTGAAGTCTCGTCCATCATATTGTTGGCTTCTTCAGCGCTTAATTGAAAAATTTGCAAGAAAATTTATAAATAGTAATACATTAATTTGTGGAATTTTCGGTGAATAATTAACAACCAAGATTCTTGATTAAGTTATTTTGCATGGCGTCAGAAGAATCTGCTGTGGTTGTTGGCAGATAAATTCGCAGGTTAAATTAGATTTCAAGTTTCAGGAAATTTAAAAAAATCTTTCTTCTTTTTGTATGTGGAGTATGTCGGGGTCACCGTCTCACTTCCTCAGTGGAATGCTCTCCGCCTGACGAAATATTGATCCAGCATTCGTCACTGCACACTAATGTCGGACGTTTCTGAGCCATGAATGTTGTTTTCTTCATGAAGGAGAAGGGTCGGGGTGGAGTAGCGAGCACCTCTCAGTATGTGGCCACGGTATGATAATGCTTTGTTTTGCACTTTTGTTTGTTTATTGCACGCGTTGGTTTTAATCATCTTTTAACTCTTCATACTAGAATTTGCACCAATAGCAGTACCAGGGAAAGTCATTAATGCAGTCATAAAATATTTAAAATTTTCATAAGATCCACTAAACAGGCATTACAGCAGAACCAGACCAAATTGAATAAATGCAATTAATTATCCGCCAAATCTGAATACTTTCCTAACACTGTTCGATAGGTAATAAATTAAATTAAAAAAACATATTTTATTTTTATCAGATTAGAATATATTTTTGGCCATCACATTGGAAGATTTTTTTCACAGCTGAATTATAAAATATGGTTATGTTTACAGTTGACTGTAGGTTTTGCTTACATACTTCTGTATTTGCGTAATTCAAATTAGGTTACATGTTGACAAAATTTAAATTTATTAAAGAAATTTTAAGGTTCAGTTATATGGCCACTTGTGATGAGTATGTAATAAGAAAATAGTAATATGAGACATATGCTTATTCTGCTGCTTTAATAATATAAATACGCGCTCTAATCGTAGGATAAGACAGTCTTAAAGTCGCTTTGCAGTAGTAATTATTGTGTTACTTGTGTTTTATTTTTAAATGCGAAATCCGTTGGAAGTAGTGTACCGGATCGCCCTTGCGAATCGATAGTGATTTGTGCGCTGGATTACCCTTTTATTGTCAGTGCCTTGGATCGACGGTACGACACGCTTCCGTTTCAATGGTTAAAGAAAGGATTACAGACCTACATGGCAGAGCACTTGGGACTCCTGGTACCATAGACTATCGGTACGCCGTTCGAGAGCCAGCAGGACGAATTGTTGTAACCCAGCGTCCACTACAACCAATACCTCACTTGGGAAGTGAATCTCACCGACGAACGTGTTGGTTGATACAGAAACGAAACTATGAACCTATTGTAAGTTTTTACTGAATTGTGTTCCTTACAGTTGTGATTCCTGTTAGTTAAGAAGCAAAAATTTTAAATTTGTTGGTGAAAATTTGATGAAAAAATTTAGAAATAGATTATCGGATATTACTTATGCTCGAAGAAATAATTCTACAAATAATCAACCGCGAGATATAGACGAACTTTACTCTAATATTTCTTTATTATATTGTATAGCCGAAAATAATTCTACTTTTGTAAATACTAGTCTAGAAACCGAAACTGTTAGTGCAATGGCCGACGCTTTGAGATCAACCGTTAGTTTGCTAAAAACCTTTGATGGTACCCCTTCTCGTTTGGATTATTTAATTAAATAAATCGACACTTTTCGTGCAAGGTATTTTAATAACGATGTATCGCAACAAGAATACGTTATTTTGGCAATTAAATCAAAAATACTAGGAACAGCAAAGATTTTTTATTAACTCGACCAGACCTTACAACTTGGGTCGAGATAAGATTAGAGTTGAGAACGTTACTTATAGTTCAAAATCCTCAAAATCTAGATAATGCTATTGACATTATTACAAATTACGAAATTCTTACAAGTCAAAGTCAGTTTAGAAATAATTATTTACAAAATAATAACCTAATGCGGCACAATATATAGAAACCAATCATTCATATTTTGTCCAACACCCAAAGAGTATTTAACAGCCCACCAATTCAACTCTATAGTCAATCGAATTTACCTTTCAATCCCCTCATCAAATGTCACATCAAAATCAATTCTTCAAGCCACAAAATCAATTTTTCAAACCGCAGAATCAATTCTTTAAGCGACAAAACCAATTTTTCAGGCAACCCTTTCAGCAACTCCACACCTCTAATCAAAACAACACCCAGAACTCAAAAAATCAATAGCCCCAACCAATGTCAGGTGTAAGTATACAACCTAAAAAGCCATTTTCTCAAATAAGACCACAATACAATAATTTCCAAAAACAGCGACATTAACCCCGAAACTAACGAAACGCAAGCCGATTTAACCGACCTTAACGAATACGATTATTACTGTTATTACGACCCAAACTACGAAAATGTTGAACAGTTCAAAAAAGAAAATAGCATCGTTGATCAATTAGAAAATTTTCAGTCAGTAGACTCGGACCAAGCAAACCCTGTTTAACCCTAAATAGTTTTCAAATAAAACAGTTACCCTACGTCGAAGTCCCTAACCATCAAATCCGTTTACTTATCGATACAGGTTCCAATGCATCTCTTCTTAGACCCTCTTTAGCAGAAACTTATTTTTCCGAATTAATTAAACCTTACGTAAATACCCTTCAAACATGTGCAGGTTCAAACAAAGCTACACATAAAGCAACTATCCCATTATTTACTTGCTTTGGTATCACCGAACCGATTGAATTTATTCTTTACCCATTTCATGAATATTTTGACGGTATTTTAGGAATTAAAGATCTTTGTAAACTAAATCTAAATATTGATTTAAAGAATACGAAGTTAAAAGCCATTATATAGAAATTCCCTTTCAATATAGAACAAATTTCGACGACTACGTAGTAGAAATTCCCCCACCCCAAAAACTATACAAAAAGCAACACTTAGGACTAATCTACCCAATAATAATAACCTAATAATACGACATGGATAATGCCCTACTATCGTGAAGATGAAATTGAAATACAAGCAACCCTTGTTACGATTACAAATAATTCCTATACTATCGATATATTTAATCATTCGAAGGTAGCGTTAATAATAACTTACTTTTAAAACCATTTGAACTTAACAACTTTGAAATATTTAATTTAGAAACACCAGTTCTGAATAGTCCAACGATAGAAAAAATGATATTGGAAATTTAATACCACACGATCATCTAAATTCGAAGGAGAAGGAACAGCCTTTTAAATTCATAAGAAAATTCGGAGTTACTTTAACTTTTGCAAATGAAGTAAAACACACAATTAAAACTAGCGACGAAATTCCCGTACATGCGAAACAAGAAGTCAATAGACAAAAAGAAGAAATGTTACAGGAAGGAATAATTCAACCCTCAAGTTCCACTTGGAATTCACCAGTGTGGATTGTACCAAAGAAAGCAGACGCATCTGGACGTAGAAAATGAAGACTCGTCATAGACTACAGAAAATTGAATCAGAAGACTATAGACGATAAATACACAATACCTAATATCAATGATATACTGGATAAACTAGGACGATGCCAATATTTCACAACGTTGCACCTCGCCAGTGGATTCCACAAAATCGAAATGGATCCTGAAAGCATCCCGAAAACAGCATTTAACATAGAGCATGGACATTACAAATATACACGTATGCCATTTGGTCTTAAAAACGCACCCTCTACATTTCAGCGCGCAATGGACAATGTATTGCGTGGATTACAAGGAAAAATATGTCTCGTGTATATGATGACATCATTATATACTCGACCAGTCTTCAGGAACACATGGACTCATTAAAATTAGTCTTTGAACGACTTGCATCCTTCAATATGAAAATACAATTGGATAAATCTGAATTCCTAAAGAAAACAGTCTAATTCTTGGAGCCATTAAATATTTTAAAATTCCCAACACTCCTTAAGAAATTAAATCCTTCCTTGGTCTTGTCGGATATTACAGGAAATTCATAAAAAAAATTGCTAAAATTACTAAACCACTGACACATTGCTTAAAGAAAAACGTTAAAATAACCCAGGATAAAGCGTTTAATCTTTGTAAAAAAATCTTAACTAATGATGCTATACTCCAATATCCGGATTTCAATAAACCCTCCATCTTAACCACAGACGCAATCGGAGCAATTCTTTCACAAGGAAACATTGAAACTGATCTACCGATAGCATACGCTAGCCGAACACTTAATTCTGCAGAGCTTAACTACTCTACAATAGAAAAAGAAGTTCTTGCCATCATGTGGACCACAAAGTACTTTCGACCTTATCAATTTGGTAGAAAATTCACTATAGTATCATAAACCTTTACAATGGCTCTTCTCCATTAAAGAACCTAATGCAAAATGAGTCAGGTGGAAACTAAAACTTCAGGAATATGAATACACTATTCAATATAAAAAAGGCAAACAGAATGTCAACGCTGACGCCCTCTCACGACCATCAAAAGAAATACACCCCGTAGACCTAGTAAAACACCCACTAACACATATGTCAGCTGTATGTGAAGAAGACGAGAAAAAAGATGACCAATATTTATGGCACGAAAAGATTAAACATTTCTTCGAATCACAGGAAAACCTGTTTGAAAAATCGCAAAAAGGTCTGAACGAGTTTGAAAAATTTGATCAAAATTGGAAACCAATCGAACACTCGGAGATAATTAAGGAAATTCAAGCAAATATTTTTGATCAACAAAATTATAAAATAGAACAAGGCATTGCTGTAGATTTTAAACAAAAATTTAACAACCTACAATATCTTACCGATAAACTCTAAACCAGGAGAAATGGCAACATTATTTGACAATAAAAAAAATCGTTTTATTTATTATCTAGTCACTAAAGAAAAATCTAACCAAAAACCAACCTCCTATATGCTTTGGAAAACCTTAATTAATACGAAAAACCATGCAAGAGAGAATCATGTTACACGAATAGCAATCCCTAAACTAGGATGTGGACTAGACCAATTGGATTGGCTAAAGGCAAAATCAATGATTAATCACCTATTCCAAAATCAAAATATTCAAATATTCGTATGTCACTGTTCGAAAAAGAAATCCAAAATTAAGATAATTTCGGATATTCAAATAAGACCTCCAAATACAGTTAAAAAGACATTACAGCCCGAAAAACTTGAAGAACAAAATAACCCATCTACAAGTAAAGAAGGTCACGAAAAGGTAGATAACTCTGAAATGGACACGGTTCGTTCATCTAGGGAAAATCCAATTATAGGAGCTCCATATGTCAATAAAGCCCTTAATACCTTTAAAAATGAAATTCTATTTAGATGGACTGATTTAACACAACCTCATGCAAGAACAGACACTTACTGTTTACATTTCCTTAATAAGGAAATGGAACTAATAATTATAAGAACTTTCTAGGAAAGGTTTAACAACAATGCATTTAAACTCGTCATTTCTAACACGTTACTCGAAGATGTTAAGGAGCAAAACGAACAGAAATAAATAATAGAAAGATATCGCACTACAAAGACATCACATCGAGGAATGACAGAAAACAAAAAATATTATGCAAAAATATTATTGGCCAAGCCTGGAAAGAGACGTAATAAATTTCGTTAATACATGCGAAATATGCCAAAAAACGAAGTATGATAGACATCCTTATAAAATCGTTTACAAACGTATACCAATCGGAACTAAACCCTTAGAACATATTTATATGGATATATACTCGATATTCAGGGCAAAAATATCTTACAATAATAGATAACTTCTCTAAATTTGCAGCAGCATACCCAGTAATGAAACTTCCCTCGAAATATGTCAAAGCTTAACTAAATTCTTCTCCAAGTAAAATTACTATGAATAACGCACAAGCTTTAAAAGTAACCTAGTACAAGACTTATGTAAAACGTATCGAATCGAGTTACATTTCACTACCCCGTATAATCCAAATTCAAACTCACCAGTCGAAAGCTTCCATTCATCCCTTACAGAAAATCTAGTCACTCTAAAAAATGAACATCGTACCAAAACGATCCAAGAGCGAATGGATATCGCAATATTAGTAAACATTCTTCCCATGAGGATACTCCTTTCCAAATTCTAAAAGGAAATCTAAACCATCAATGAAATTTTGAGAAAAACCTAAATCAATTGCAAACAGATTATGTGTATGAACTTGCGCAAATCTTTACGGAACTTAATGAAAAAATAAATTTAAAACTTAATGCAAAAAAGGCAAATGTTTTAGCAAAACTAAATCAAAAACGCGAAAATGACCTCGAAATACCCCAAGGTACTAATCAATTAATAAATACACCTCGGAAGTTTTCACAAAAATTACAACCTAAATATAAACTAATTCAATTTAAAAATCAAAGACACCTAAAGATGTTAAAAGACATTTATAATTTTAGGTAAGAATGAAGATTGCCATTCTCCTGCTGCCCCTAATCGTATATACCCCATACCAATTAATAATAAAATATCCGTTATAAACAATCCCTATCTTTTGAAATCGACAGACGATTTCTTTAACCTAAAGGAAAACTGCTACAAAATCACTCCAATAACCTGCTTAATAAAAACGAACCCTGTATTCCGCAAACAATTAATTTATCTAATTATTGTCCAATGATTCCTCAGCCTCAACTACCCAATTAAATGTATTGTAGTTATCCCAAATTCCCAAGAAAATATATATTTTTATTGCCCAAATCAAAAGTGTTGAAATAATAAATAAAGCATCTTTAATTCTGCCCGCAGAGTGTAATGTTAAAATTAAAAATTAAAAAAAATGTCTCAAAAAGGAGACATAATTAATTTAAGACTAAAACCTCCGTCAATAGTTTTTAATGAAAAATTGTTTCATAATATCGAACCACTAAAGAGAAATTAGTGTTGAAAATATAAAAGAAGATATGGAAAGTGCTCGAAACCTAGCAAATCACCGTCCTAAAACCCTTAACTTTTGTAAACTCTAGTGTTTCAATTACTGTAATACCTACTATTATAATTATACTAATAATCTATTTTATTATTACCTAAAAATAAAATAAAATTTAAAGGTGGGCATAGAACTAGAAACTATTCGAAAATGAACCCCGATTTTCTCAAACTTTAGGAGGTAGGAGTTATATGGCCACTTTTGATGAGTATGTAATAAGAAGATAGTAATATGACACATATGCTTATTCAGCTGCTTTAATAATATAAATTCGCGCGCTAATCTTTGGATAAGACAGTCTTAAAGTCGCTTTGCAGTAGCAATTATTGTGTTACTTGTGTTTTAAATAAAAAATCAAATTTTTTCTTTGTTTAAGTTAATTTTTTGTAGATGGAAACTTTATTTAAAGACAGGAAGATTGGTAGGCATATAATCAAAATCTGGAAAATAATAGGTTAGATTCTGGTAATTTCTTTCTTGCAGTTCACAATAGTTGTCTCGTCGATTTTCATTTGGCATCCGGTTTGCAAGGTTAGAAACTAACTCCCTTCTAACTTCTGATGCTCTTCTTGGTCTCCACAGTTTAACTTTGTCAACTTGCTTTTAGGCAAAATCAATAGCCATATGTTGGAATTATCCAGTCAGTTTATTATTGGTCTGCTAACAGTGACGTAGATTTCTTCGCAGGTAGTAGGTTTGGATGATTGCAGCAAGGACTCTTCGTTCTAAGTTCTTTAACATTTCCTTGCGGACATAGGTACACTGACGTCGTCATTTCTTTACAGGGACTTCTTCGATATATATGGTGTAATTGATTTATGATTAAATATTTATTACGCCATTTAGCAACCTTAAAGAGACTCTGATGTTTAAGAGGGGCAGAATACAAATGAAAATATTCAAGTTCATTTTGATTTATTGTTGAAATATGCAATAGATAAGTTATCCTATTATTTAGAATAAAGCTATCGATAGTAATCAATTTTTCAAAATGTATTATGGTTTCCAAGCTAATAGGCAAGGGCATTTTATTTTTTCTCAATTGTTTAAGTTCACTAAAAAGGTCGTTTAACTTAATAAAACTAAGATGTAATATTCTTAATTTGGCAATCGGTATGGAATTTTCAATATCTTGCAATATAAAATGAACTATTTCGTAAACGTTGATCATTCCATTAACAATATTTTTAATAAGAAACATATTTTCCCGATAAGTTGTTTTTTGAACAATATCACTAACCTGATTTAATTTTCTTTCGATCAGTTTTTCATTTTGTTTTATTTGTTTAATAGTAGAGTTAAATTTGGCTATTATGTTTGTTGAGATTGAGTTTTGATTTCTAATATTCCTTTATAACTTATATTTTGATTTAATTCAATTTCAAAATTTTTAAAATAGTCCGATGCTGCGGCATAATACTCCGGGTGTTTTAGTAATGAGTTTATGTTATTAGATCGCAACCTTAATTTATTAATTTCGATTAGTAGCGCATTAAGGTCGTACTAATACATAAGGGTGTAGGAGTTTTCAGTCAATTTTGCCTGCCTTAGTTTAAATGGTTGTTCGTATTCATTATAAAATATATCGGAATATTCTTTAATTAAATTAAAAATTTTATGTTTTCCTTCGGAATTAAGATGATCAATGAAATCATTTTTTTCCAATTCTTTACAGTTAAATTTTTCTACAGTAACAAGTTGTGAAAAATATAATGTAATTCTGTAATTTCGCAGTTATGATACTCTTGAAGTGAAACAAGAATCTCACCGTTTTTTACTGACGTTTTAATTCTCACTTATTCGACTCGCGGAGAAATTGTTATGCAATTAAATTCGGAATGCATTTTTTGAAATTGTAATTTAATATTCATGTAGGGTGTTTTTAAATATCCCTTGTTAAAGTCGAGATTTGCTTGTAAAAGTGTAAGATTGTCGAGACCTAAAAGACCGTCGAATATGTTATGAAATTTGAATAAATAAAATTTCAAAAGATGGGATCATTGCACTGTAATGATTTGCTGATTTTTGAAAGACAGGAGCTTCTATAAAAGGATCATTTATTATATAATGAAGATATAATTTTTGTGCAATATTGGGATCGATAAATGACCTAGTCGAGCCTGAATCAATTATTTTTTATATTATTTCTGATGATCGCTTGGATTTGACTTATTAAAATATATAATTTGAGGTGTTACATCTTGTGATTGCTCATAATCAGGTTGCTGTTCGTCATATGTTTGTTGTTGTTCGTCGTAATTGGGTAAATAAAGACAATTTTTAGTGTCATAATCATAGGATGCATTATTTGCATAATAATGATCATAGGTAGCTGTATCCTGGTAATTTTGATTATCGCTAAATAAAATTTGGTTTTCTTGGTCCATGTTTTTCGGTTTCGGAGTTAAACTTGTTTTATCGTAAACTTTGGTGTATTGTAATTTTGTTTTGAAGTACTAGGTAAAGGTTTATATGTTGTTGACTCTATTCACGACATCGGTGTGGGTGGTGGAAAGTTTTTTGTTGATTATTACGTTTACCGAATACTTGAGATTTAGTAAAATATTTTGTTGTGGATTTCTATTAAAATTTGGCCTTATATTGATGGATTCTGCGCATGTTAAAACTTGGTGGTCTAGGAAAGTCGTATGAAAATCATATGGGTTTTTTGCATTGACATTTTGTAGTCTGAGCATGTCGTGATTTGGCTGGAATGAATGCATTGGGAAATTTGTTTGAATCGATCTAAAACTGGGAATATCTCTATCAATCGGAATACTTTATTTGTATTGGTTTTGAAGATGATGAATGTTAAATTCATGGGTTAAAATTTGCAGACTTCGTTAGGTTATTTGGCCGCATACACCTGACTGTAGTGGCAAGAGGTTCTCTTGTGTCACAACAATTCTTTTTTTCCGGTTAATTCTATTGAAATGCAACAAATCGAGTACGTTTCATATATATATATATATATATATATATATATATATATATATATATATATATATATATATATATATATATATATATATATATATATTCCCGAAAATCGTTCCGACTGCGCCAGTTAACTAACCAGACCGTGGTTGCCGATTTTTAAAAAAATAACTTTATTTTCGAATTACAAGTTTACAAGATTACAACAAAAATATTTTCAAATGACTGCCCGTTGCGCATCTTTCCCATCGTTATGTTGCGAGTCTTGCACACTCAGCAGGTTCTCAGGGTGTATGGTAACATAACTCGTGTAACCTTCCAAGGTAGAGGACACTTTTAACAACTTATCTAGTTTCTATGTTCTATTTTTTTAAAAAAAGGTTTATTAATTAAAAAAATAAAAATTAAAAAATATTAACAGTAGGTAGTGTTTTTTTTATTAATAAGAATCGTTTATTATTTATCTTGTTGTTAGGATGTTATTTCATTAAAACTCCAAAAGTAAAAAGAACAGTCCTCTAATATTTGTTGTTTCTGAAGGACACGAGTTGGTAACTAAAATGTAGACATTTTTTAGATAGATATTTATTTTTCAAAAAAAAAATCCCAAGTAACCAGCGCAGTCGCGACCTCATCAGCCTAAATTTTTGTTCATAGACAGTCAGTAGCACGTCACTGACTTCGTTAAAAAAAACAATGAAATTTGCAATCATTTATGAGCTGATATCTCTTAATTTTTCTTAAGTCAGTCGCACGGTTTTTACTTAAAAGTAAAAACTAATTTTTCTGCATGCTGTCATATTAACGATATTGCTATTACTATGCTGAAAAGAGGTTTTTTATTTTTTAAAGCGAAAACCGTACATCGAGTTGAAAAAAACCTCAAGAAATTAAATTTAATTACGCCCGCCACTGGTGTATTTTAAAAAAAGTGGTACACTAAATAATGCCTCTTGATACATAGTACATATGTGCCACATTTCCATCTGTAGTGGTATTACAGATATTACCGCCTTGTATCTAAAAAGTTAAGGCGTTTAGGACACATGTTCATATAAAGTTTTCTTTTTAAAATGAACCCCAAAATTGCCGCCCAAATTATTGACATTCAATTATAAAACACCCTATAAATAGTACCTTGTTTGCTTATCGCCAGCAATTTAAAAAATGAACTACTCTTAAAACCAACAAGAAAACGGTTACAAAACATTGGAGATAAAGGCAAACGGCATTAACTACATAAGAACACAAGTGGACTACAGAGAAGGGGCTAATGGCTTTATCCCTTTGTGCTAGTAGCTGTTTAAGGTCATATGACAGCAGACTCTATTTTCTTTTTAAAATGTTAAAGCAATTTTTTATTTGTTTTGAAGATAATTTCGATTAATACAAATACACAGTACATTAAAAATAAGCAAAAAGAAAATACAAACAAATCAATTTCAGCCATCATTGAAATAGAGCACAAAAGTCATGGTATTTTTTTTGTTTTATCTTTTACTCCTGTATATTTTCGAAAAGGGCCCAATTTTTTATTGAAACTTACAAACTGATTGTCTAAAATCATCTGCCTATCTTTGTTCCTATGTAAAATGGACAAACGATTATGACATACATAGACTTCGTTTTATTATCACGTGAATTGTGCAAACATAATGTTATTACGCCATTACTTTTCTTATCTTATGGCCCTTAAAGTTAAGTATTAAGTAGATTGAGGGTGTTAATCATCCATATGCATCCTGTAAACAAAACAAAAGTTATTTTATAGAACATATAACCTCCGTTTTTCCATACTTTATTAGCCTATGTTTTCAATAATACGCCACAAGGATATCCATTATTGTTGGTGAACCATATTTTTGTTTCCAAACCTCATAATTTAATCGCATTCCAATTCTCAATGCTCCATGATATTTCGTTTCTCATTGGGTGTTATTGAAAGTTCCATGGGCACGGTATCCCTTTTGGTTGTCCTTTTCTTGGTACGCGTTGAAATGGTCATTGTTCAGACCAGGGAATGGTTAACAATTTGTTTTCTGTGCTCAAATTGCTTTAATGAGCTTTCTTACCCTGGTTCCGTGGTTATGGCGCAATGGTACCAGCAGAAATACCTCCTGAAATTCAAAGTTTCTTTCCGATAGTTTTCTGTGGTTTTTGCTGAGGATCTATGTCATGCTATTTCATCACTATTCCAATTGTCCTCCATTTTGGCGATTCAAGTGTCGTTAAAAGTATGGCTCGAGAATAAGAGGAGTTTTCTTTTCGTTTTACGATTCGCCGACCGTGAATTTTCTCATCGAAGTGGTTCATGTTCTTATTACATTAAATTCGTGACATGTTTGTGACTGGTAAGTTTCTTATTTTAGTTTGGATCTGTCTAATAATATATTTTTTAGAGTTTACAAACTGTCTTCGCCATTTTGTTTTTATTTATTATCAATTGCCTGTTTTTGAACGAGGCATGTTGAATGATTGAGAAAATTATTTTTTATTCTGCGGAAAGTGGCTCAATTGATTTTCATCCTTTCCACATATTGACATAAAAATTAACGCAAACGAATAAATAGAAGTCAATACTTGCAAAATTAATAGAATTTGCTATGGTTTTCTGGAAATTTGAACGTAAGGTTTTGCTAAATTTTTATGCTGGTGAGATTTTCTTGTTTTTTACATTTTCGACGAAGAATGAGCTGCGAGTTAGTTTATAACAAACGTTTTATATATTCCGTAGCTTTTATTGTTACAATTTTTTAAAAATATCATCGACACTTTGTGGCAAAAGTTGTTTAAATTCATTTGTGCTTTTAAAATATTATTATACAGTGTGTTCACATGCATGGGAATCTCAGAATCTCAGCTTAGATTAGTTTAGGAAAATTTTTTGTTCTTTGAAGCTTATTTACATGCCGTTTAGAAAAAAATTTCTTGGCCTGCTGGGATATTTGGCAAAAACGAGAATTTGACGATGTCGATTTTTTTTTCCGGACTTTATTTGAAGAGGTATAAAAAAAACTAATAACGCTTTCTCATTGCCACTTTTAAGGTACTATATGATGCTATTTTTAGATTTTATATCCTACGTTTTTGGCTTGTGAAGAAACCATAAATTTTATTTTGTATATTGTCCTAAAGAAAAGTCCACCCTGTGTTGGAATCAGACATTTATTATTACAAATTCAACGTACGTATTTTCAAGTAGGCGTCGTAAAGAAATACCATTGAATTATACAAAAAAAAATTCTTTCTAAAAAAAAATATCGCGTGTGGTACATTGTTGAATTTGTAATAAAAAAGTCAGAACGCGGTCTATTTTTTTTTTCGGAACATAAAAAAATTAGCTTGATGCTTTCTTGAAAACGAAATATCCGATATAGAATCCATAATGTGGTATTTTGAAAGTACCAATGAGAAGGTGTGATTAGTTTTTTTGGTATCTTTTGAAATAAAGTAAGAAAAACCTAAAATCGATATTGTCAAATTCCCGTTTTTGTCAAACATCTCAGCAGGCCATAAAAAAATTTCAAGTTTCTATACAGCATGTAAATAAGCTTCAACACAACTTATTCCTAATTTAATATAAGCTATATCTTCAACATGTACCAAGCTTAGGATTCTTACTTTGGACACACTCTATATACTGAGTAGAGCACTGCTGCAGGATTCGTTTATATCTTTATTAAGGGTTTATTTCCTCGAAAAATGTGGAAGTATAAAAGGTGTTTATTAAATGTAATGTTTGACGATTTTCGAGATCACATGACTATCCGAGGTCCAACAATAAGGATTATATTACCCAATATGCTAAACAAGTCTCCTTTATTTTCGGAATATCATTTTTATTAGTTATACTGTAATCATAGCCGAAATTGTCATGGAAATTTGGAAGAATCGGTCCTAGATAATGCCAATTTGGATATTCCATTTTTCTTTAGATACGTAGACGATTGCATTGCAGCCATTCCCAAAAACAAACAAAACGAATTCCTTCAACTGCTTAACAGTTATCACTCTAAAATCCAATTTACAATAGAAATAGAATCCGAAAATAAAATAGACTGGACTTGACACTGCACAACAAACAAACAGAACTCAGAACAGAATGGTACACTAAAGAAACCTGGTCTTCCAGATATGTCAATTTTTACTCCAACCACACTTTCCACCAAAAAAAATCTTTTATTGTTGGCCTGGTTGACCGTTCTATCAAGCTCTGTGATCCGGATTTCAGAAAAACAGCAATCGAAAAAGCCAAACTGGCACTTAAACTAAATAATTATCCCGAAACACTAGTCAGCAATATCCTCAAAAAACGCGTCTATCTTTTTTACAACGAAAACCAAAAGAAATCTAGAAAACAGGAAAAACAAAAAAATACCTATTTGTCTCTTCCCTATATACCGGGAATGTCTTTTTCGCAAACCACAACATTACTGTTGTTCACGAGGGTTTTAATCTAAAGAACAACAACTATAGCAAACTAAAAGACAAAATACCGGATGGGAAAAATAGTCATGTTGTTTACAAGACTTCATGTAACGACTGCGAGGGTGTGTATGTCGGTTAGACAAGCCAATACCCCAAAAGCAGAATAAATGGTCACAAATATGATTAAAAAAATACTACTGCGCTGAAGAGTCACTGTACGGAGATGAAATATTCCTTTAATTTTGATAGGGTTAAGTTCTTAAAAACAAAAATGTTGTAAACTCAAAAACCGACAAAAAAAAACTTAGGCAAAATATATTGCAATCTCCTGATACAATTATTTTAATCAGTTTATTAACGGTTGAATTAACAATGAAATTTTGTCTTTTCTAAACGAACAACCCGTATCACCGTTGCCCTTCCTTCGAGTCTCGCCAAAAAAAAAAACGATCGTACCTCGCATTATTTTTATTCCGTTGAGTTTGTATCTCGTCGGTCCCGACGGAGAATGTCGACTTTGTTTTTAATGGTGTTTTGACTTTTTCTTGTCATATTTGTGTGGGTATACTTTATAGAATTTATATCGACATGAATTTGGATTTTACAAAGTTCGCCAAATTTGGCAAAACTAAAACGTAAAGACCTTTTTAGCTAATATTATGCGACAACAACCCACCGTATTTTTTTAACGTTTTTAATGGTACGATGATGCTCTCTCCCCCCCCCCCCCCCTTTTTTTTTTTTCGTTTTGGGGAAAACTTGTTTTGTAAGTTGGAGATTGTGTATGGGTGTAAAATTGATTTTTTTATTTTAAATGCATTTGTAGACACTAATTATTCTGAGGAAGGTCATGAATGACCGATTTTGATCAAGTAAAAGCCACCTTAGTTCAATTTAACAAAATTGTTGCACAAATAACGATATTTTTTTTTGGAGAATTGTTTGTAGAATCAAAAAACACACGTAATTGGTCACATGTTAAACTTGTTGCTTTGCAGATATTAGTAGTAGGAATTTGAGTATACTTTGTTCACTTTTAGAAATACATCACCTCTATATCGAAAATCGAAATTTAGAAAATCTTTATCCGAGTCTCTCTTCTGCTGCAATCAGTTATCATTCCGGTTAATATTGTGAGTAAAAGTGTCTCCGAGTTGTGGCCTTGACGACCAGTAATACCTATAACTTGATATAATTAGTATCAAGTTTGTAGCAATAAAGCTTTTTGTGGGGCATAGCGATTTATCGGAATTCTTTAGTATTCAAAAGATTTTCCAGAAAATATATTAAAATATATCAGTGGGTGTTTCAAAGGCAATTTCAGGTGCTGATATCATCATATCATCAAATAATTTCAGATTTGGTCCGCACAGTTGGATTTGCCATTTCTTGGGCTCGAATAGTAGAAAAGCGTATTTCATTGTCTATCATTATTTATATCATTGCGGCCAGCATCATGGGCAAAAACAATGGGCATGTTTTCAATATCACAAGTCCGAGCAACAAATGGTGCGTAAAAATCATTGGGCGCTTTCAATGCGATCATCGCTGAAATCGCCCAGTCAGTGTCGTCAGGGAACTCTGCAATCAAATCATTAGTTTGCATTTAAACTTAACAAAACTATTTTCATTTACACAAACTCTTGTAAAACATATCAAATAATCGTTATTTACAAAACACAGGTATGTAACGGTGGGGCATACCTACAGTATAGTCACTATAAGTGTCCCCATGCGGTTTAAACTAAATTGATTGTGGCTCCACTACGAGTACGCTAAGCCGTAAAGGGTTAAGCGAATTGAATTAGATTGCTTGTATAACTGCTAGATAGCGTTTCCCACAAATAAAATGAATTTTCTCGAGATAATTATATATTGCAAGAAAAGACAAGACGGACTAATAAGAGTCTAATACGCCAGTAAAAACCGAATTTCGATATGTCTTTCCGACCTTATAATACCAGTTAAAAAATAAAACTTGAAATAATTTTGCATTTTTGATATTTTGGGAATTATAATTATTATTTCGTCCTTTTAGCGATATATAAATTTACTTGATTTGGTATCAATGATTTGTTTACAAAAACATGTTTTTTTAGTCGAAGACAATCATGCAATTTCCACCACCCGTTCAGATACTTTTCATGACTACCAATAGTCTTTCGTCCGTTTGAAGAGCGCAGAGAAGTTGTTTAGGTAAGTCTTTTTGCATCGTTGTCGATCTTTGCTATTGTTATTCTCCGTAATTTTAATAGATTGGTCATCCAAGAATGAAGAAAAAAAAAGATTGTCTTTATAAACCTAGGTCCGCAAATGCTTAGTTTCCAAAATACGGGGTGTTAAATGTTAAAAAAATCATCTCTTTTACAATTTTTAAAATATTTTTGACCGGTTTTAGCAACATTATTTATAATGGTAAAAAGCCAAGTTTGCTTCGATTAGATTGAATTTGTGGAGTCCAGTGCCGTCCGTTAGGTGTGCTAATTGTATTGTCAACTGTACTCTATCTACATTTTTACAATTTTTCTTATATACTTCGAATAAACCGCTAAACGTGTCAACTTTTCTGACTCGAGTTGTTTGCGTATCATGCGTCGTTTTCAATCGAAAAAATAATAATCACGAAAATTGACAAAACATTTCAGTAAGTGTCCTAAAAAATTAATACTGAAGAAAATGATGAAAAATGAGAACCATCAGTTTAATGGCTGGCATGTAGGCAAACATAAAAATCTTAGGTATTAACGGAGCTTAAGTCGTTAAAATAGCTTTAAATAGGTTTGCTTGATTGTGGTAGACAATGATTTAGTAGCAATCCTGAGATTGTCGAATTTATTCTTTTGTTTCGGTCAGATGCCTCACCACCCCTTACCAAGTGCAAACGTGTTAAGCGTTAGGTAAGTTAATTATTTTTTTTAACGTTTGTTGATGTACTCTTAACCTATGTGTTTATAAAACGCTTTGTACCTATTATTGTAAAGTATATTAAGTGAATAATCAGCTTAAATATCTCGAGGTGTTAGACAGAAATATTTATTTTATTTTATTATTTATTTATTTTTTATATTTTCTACTGTACAGCCACTGCTCAGAATGTTCTGACTCACTAATGTTTTCTATGCTCTGTTTGGTTCTTCTTAGCACTCAAATTTCTGCGATAAAGCAATGGATATTTTTTTTTAATTTCAATCTTTAATTAATCCTATTGTCACATTCAAAAATATAATCCCTTGTTTCTTTTTTAATTGTTGTTACAGTATAAAATGATATATTTTGCATGAGTTCTGTCATTTATTAATTCCTAAAAACAATAAAATGACTTCTGTGTGAAAGAAGGATTTTCGTACGTTTTTGTTTATTTAATTTCGAAGATCGTAGTAATCTTGGAAGCTAAGCTTTTGTGATCTAGATTTATATGAACTTTTGAATATTCAGCCGAAAATGGGGGCATGTTTTTTAAAACACTCTGTATAGAATACCAGGTTTACCTATTTCTTATTTACCTAAGTTACCTACTAAGTTATTCAATTCAATTTAATACGGTCAAATTACTAAAGAGCTGACCTAAATTGTAGATCATAAGTAATTCATGTAAGTCATTGGAAAGAAGCCCGCAGGAACAATACTTTTTGCTTGTATACAGATCAAAAAAAAAAATTGATTAGTCGCTAGATTGCCAAAAACCTTTTGTTAATTTTGACACTGTTTTGTTAATTAACTTTACAGTTGGTATGCAGCTTTAACCAAAATATGCTGACCGATTTTGTTAAAGTGATTTTATTAAGAAACAAACCAAGAAATTAAATGACTATACAACAGTTATTACCCGGCACTCTTTTCTGTTTTCTTTATTTTTTGTTTATTTGATTTTTAAAAATGTGTTTGTCCTTTTTGCTGCTGTTTTTCAGTTATATATTTTAAAATATGAAATTATAAGCGAACAATTGGTGACAATATGTAAACTCTTTTAGAAAATTTACTTTGTTATCCTAGCACAAGACCGTGTCCCACGTTTTATTTGGTTGAAATCTTCGAGTTTACCTATATAAATTTTTGAGGTCCTCGTTCGTATGCATTTCAAATTATTTATAATTCTCAAGGGTAAAAGAACTACATACTAATGTGTCTTCAACTCCAGTTGCGTTAGTATTAGTTTGAGAAATTAATTTTTTTTCTGATTTATTTTACATATACATAGAAAAAAAAATGTTCATATTATGAAGTTCTGATAAATGTTGTTTCTGGAACATACGGTAAAGGTTTTCAACTCCGGTCAAGTTTTTTTGCATTTATTTTTGAATGATTGATATGAATAAATGCGAAGATTTCGCTTATTTATGCTAGTGTGATATAGTGTGATATTTCTCAGATTTTTATATCGCTCAGGTCAGATTGTAATTTAGGTATTTTTCTTTAGGCATAGTAATACAACGTTAGTTATAATAATAAAATTGCTTTATTTGCAGCATTAATTTTATTTAATGCCTTACTAAAAATGAAAATTGCTTAGATATAATAAAAAAAGCGAAAAATTTAATTAACCTCGTACAGTGATTCACAGTTAATATCACACTAGTGAGCAATACGACCAAAGTTTAACATTTGACCTGACCATCATATCTTTTTGGATATCTGTGTATACAACATCGACCTGTCGGTTTTTGTCCAAAACTTCTGAGACATACTGAGTAATATGGACAAGCTTAGTAGTGTTAGATCTTTGCATCCTGAGGTAAAAAGATCTATCAAGAAATTATTTATATTGAAATGTTTAATTTATCGATGTTTCAAATACTTATCGTGTATATTTACCAAATTAACTGTCTGCAGTCAGCCAAAAGCGGACCATTCTTTCACCTGCTCCGAATCTATATCAGCAGATTTGATTCCAAACATATCCACAGGTGAGTATAAATATTGTTAAATAATTCAATAAAAATCAATATCCAACAAACTGTTTTGTATTTACTACTCCTTTGGTTACCACCATATCTTCAATAAAAATCGATATTATTTCGCTTCAGTTATTTGGCTATTTACTCATTACTTCCCCCTTACGGTATCCCTTTACAGCTTTTGTCCTGCGTTGTGCAAATTAGGTTTGAATGCAATGCGAAATTTGGAGGTCTATTGCTTAAATTTGAGAATTGAAAGGCTCTTATTTGGAATTTTTGGCAAAATCCTGTGAATATTTCTTTCCCTTTAGCAACCACTTTTTGCACCGTTTTCTCTTTGCCACTCTATTTGTTTTCTTATCTTCATCTGATAGCTTTTTCTTTTTGAAATTGTACAAGATTCGCACACGATTATTTAACTGCGGAATATGATGCGTACCGCAGTTAAAATGGCAGCAATGACCAGTCCGTCAGTGATCCAAAGGCCCGTAAAACAGTCGAATCCTGCAGAAGACTGCTCCGACTACGAGTGCAGGGTGCCGTTGCCTGAACTGAGTAGGGTAACATCAAGAGGGCATCCTCAGAAGTATTCGAGCTTTCTTCATGAACGACGAAAACAGTCAAAATTTTAATAATATATAATATGAGATTGGCAAAGGAACTGACATCGGTGTATAGCATCATACGCACAATAAATTGCTATGAGTTAAAAATGCTGAACGATAATAACCAAATTCAAAGAGTATGAATTCAATAATACCAGAACACTTTACTTTTTGAATGCCAGATGTTCCAGGGCACTAGATGATCACTGGAATCGTAACTTGATGGGGCATTTGCAAAGAAGATTTCGTTGACACATGACAACATCGAATGTGCATCTCTTTAGAGTTAAATTGAATTTCATTTTTTAATTCTGCTTTTATCCGATTCTCTTTTTATATGCATTTAATGCTTGCTTTACGTACGTAGTATTCAAAACAATATTTTAAAGAGTATTTTGCCGATGAATATGTTTCAGAATGGTCTTACAACAAATGTTTAAAAGCAAAGATTGCTTGATTGAGGTTTAATGTCAATAAACCGCCTGAGGTATTTGAACATTTCATAACAAAAATAAGTCTTTAAGTTTGGGTGGTTATGATTCTTCAGCTCGGATTGAAAGAGCTCCTCCTACTGGATTGCTTCGACACGACTGCGGCTGTGGATGTTCAGGATTGGTGTCATCGGAGTGGCAGTCTGCGTCCCAAAAGGAGGTTAAAAAAAAGATATAAAAATTTATATTTTGGGTCGGCCGATTAAGTGAGTGCTAACAATCATATATTTTTTTTATTTGACTGGTTATCAACATCTTGTTCCCTCACTTGTCGCCATTTTTAAGGAAATTTTATTATGCCTCTCTTCGTTTAAAAAAAATGTATTCGGGTTTCACATCCCCAAATTGAATCATGTCAGCAGTAAAACTATTGGCTATAGGAAAGAACAGCTGGTCACTCTAAGGAAAATGTGGATGTACAAGAACTTCCCATCCAAACTGCTGAAGCACTATTGGTGTGTGCGGATTGGCATTATCCTTATTGTCCTTGTCGAAGAAAAATTGTAAAATATAGCAACCTTTCTTTTTGCTGGTGTTTAATTCTTCGTAAAAGTGGAACTACATTTTTTAACCATATATTGCAGAAATAATGGATAACTTTTTAATATCGTGTTAGATTTAGGCTATTAATAAATTAATGCATCATTCGGGTTTTGGGAAACGAACTAGACCAGTCAATACGGTTCTTGATTTTTATTTTAACACGATGGCGTTGCGACGTGCGTTTCGGTTATTATACCAATTGTCTTGCATTTGCCAGGGATTTTGACCTGCAGCTCCAATTGGTAATTCTCTCCACTCGATTTCGTCCTCAACCATCTTCCTTGAAGAGTTGGAAACCAAATCCGTTTGCTGCACCGAGCACAGCTGTCGAACTTGATGACGGTGAGGTTCCTTGCACTGACCTTTGACGCCAGTTTTCAATTTATTATTCCTCGGAGGGCGTTGTTGTTACTATTTGAATTTCGCCTCCTGCCATACCCAAGTTACGCATCACGACTTTTTCAACTTTAAAAGTTTCGAATTTGCCAATAACATCTGAGATTGACCGTAGGTACCGCAGATTGAATCGCGTGTTTGTTTACGTACTCGTCGAACTGGTTCGCGGTAATACCAAAGCCTGCTAAACGCTGCCTAATTTCTGGCCTTCGTTCTCCTTTTAATGACGTTTTTCCGATAAAGTTGGTTGTCACAATGCTGTGCACATGGAAGTTTGGCACAGGTTCCGCTTCTTGAGAAGCGAGCGCCATTACCATGTCCCTAGCTACTCCCAGGGATGGAACGTCTTCGAACAGATTATGAGTGTCAGCGTTCACCGCGTGGGCATAGTATCCTTCAAAATTTTGCACGACGGTAGTTGGCAATGCGGGAATTTCCAACAATGTCTCTTTGCCCATTCGGTCGGTATACGTTTCAATTTCCTTAATGTAAGTGTAGGTCGGTTGCGGAACGTTAAAATTTTCGTCTACAACTGCCTTTCGAATATCTTTTTCCGGGCTTGACAGTACTTGCTGTCCTTGCTTTGACTTGACCTGGATCAAGCGTAGATGAAGTAATACTGTGGAATAGTATAGTAACTCTTCCGTACATAGCTTACGATCCAGCTGATTCACATCAGTCTGGTTCGCGTCGAACGTGTCGAGTGTTAGATCCACCAATTTTGAATAATTGGCGTTAAAGGATTGCTTTCGTGCAATCTCTGTCACCGTAATGTCTATGCCGAAAATTGCCTCTGTCAACAGAGGCTCATTGTTCTGGCTGGTGGGCTGCGAGTTTTCTGCAGCATGTGTCGGTTTTGGCACGGTTGGATCTCTCTTACCAACGGGTACGTTCCTAACTTTAGGTTTAAAGTCAGGTTTGAAGTTCTCTGGTTTACCACGGTAATGTGGTGCGATCTTCTTGATCTCTTCCGCTGTGTAAATCTTTTCCTGCGCGTTTGCCATTGTTGACACTTTTAGTTTTTCTTCCTCTCAAGGACCAGACCTAAAAACTGGTCCGGCGTAAGGGAACAGCGAGTATCTGCTAACTCTGGGTTATTATCAAGTTCACCGTTTAAATCCACAAGGAGTTCCTGATAATTATCTGCGTCAACGGTCTCCTCAAGGAAATTATTCCAGGAAGATTCAACTCTGCGCAGTGGTCTCATGGGGGTTCTCAGATGTTCAATAGACGCTAGTTAATCCATTCATTTAATTTTAATTATGCTTCATCCCTCCAAAGAATTTGTTGATTAGCTGTTAGCGCATATATCAAATGAGGACGACAACTGAAAAGCTGCGCAAACTGCAGACTGAATGGGTGTCTCGACAAACGTTTGGGCAACGAGGTGCAGGTTCTCTTCAGTCGCTACCGTTACACTACGCGGTGAATCTAACATTGACCCATTTTTTGAAACTTCTTGTTTAACTGTATATCATCTGTCTACTGGGAACTGGCCTGTTAGGCATCTGCACCTGGAACTCATCGAAGATTGTCTCGTAATCAGCCTGGTGTCGCCAGAAAGATCCGTTCTTCTGTATTGAAGTAGGGGCTGCCATGGCGAAATAAACACAGCAACAGACAATTGTAAACTGGCTATACTAGCACTGCTTATGAGCACTTTGGTCGGCTCCGCAGTAAGCGCAAGCCTAGTTTCCGGACAGCGTTGCAGAGATCGCACAATTTTCTGATAGCGTTAACTGACTTCTACAGGGTGCGGCAGCATAACTTCCTTTTTTCAAAACTCAATAAAAACTATTGTGTGCATCGGAAAATCTTTATTTATTTTTTATAATGTAGGTACATGTCTAAAGTTTTTATTTACATTGTTTTGAAGATCAAATCTATTAGGTGACGTCCCTCATTCTCCATACATTGCGTAAACCGATATCTGGCGTTTGTCATGACTCTTGTTAGCATAGCTGGTGTTATGTTGGCAATTTCTTCTTCGATGTTGGTCTTCAAATCTTGTAGGGTTCTTGGACGGTTCACATAAACCAGGGATTTCAAAAAACCCCATAGAAAAAAATCACAAGGGGACAGATCGGGAGAGCGTGCCGGCCATTCCAAATCGCCTCTAATTGAGATAAGGCGCTCTGGAAAGTGTTCCCTCAAAACAGCCATCGATGCTCTTGAAGTGTGTGCTGTTGCACCGTCTTGTTGGAACCAAGTGTCCCCCAAATCCAACTCTTCTAGCCGTGGGAAAAAAAAATTCTGTAGCATGTTTACATACCGGTCCGAATTCACTGTCACTGTAACCTCATTTTCCTCAAAAAACCAGGGACCAATAATTCCAGCTGAGGAAATTGCACACCACACTGTGACTTTGGGTGAATGCAAAGGCCTTTGATGCAATTGTCGAGGGTTGGTGTCAGCCCAGTAGCGCATGTTTTGTTTGTTAACCGACCCACATAAATGAAAATGGGCTTCATCGCTAAAAAAAACAATAGCACCCTCGGGAACGACATCAAGAAGAAGCTCACACGCGTTCATCCGAGAATTGAAGTCACGTTCTGTAAGTTCCTGCACTATCGCCATCTTATAGGGATGAAAATGAAGATCATCACGAAGAATTCTTCTCACAGAACGATCGGATAGTCCAAGGGCAGATGCGTGTTTGCGCGCAGAACGCCGTGGTGATCGCAACATTGAAGCTCTCACTGCTTCAATGTTCTCAGGTGATCTAACGGGCCGAGGGACTCCAGTTCTTCGTTTTGTCGCACTTGCAGTTTGTCTGAATGTAGTGACCCATGTAACAATTGATTTGCGGTCTGGGACGGGAGCCAACGGGGCTAAATTAAAGCGATTCCGAAATGCACGCTGTGTTGCAACAACCGAACAACCGCTTGAAAAGTAGGCCTCAACGGCAAAGGCACGCTCCTCACTATTCCAACGCATGATGGCGACTGAACCGTGTCGGGACAAAACTTTACAGTACCCCCTCTTGAACGAGACCACTAGCGCCCCACTATGACATCAACTAACTCAATGGCGCGCATTTAAAAAAAGGAAGTTATGCTGCCGCACCCTGTACTAGACCCTGCATATAAATACATACTTATGATGTCCAAGGTC